AAATGGTCATGCCGAATGAAAACATCGTCATATCCTTGATACTGTGAGAGCTCTTTTACTTTCTGCTTCTTTACTTGAAAAGTTTTGGGGTGAAGCTGCTCTTACTGCTATGTACACAATCAATCTGTTACCCTCACTTATACTTCACAACAAATCTCCTTATGGCCTTCTCTATGGTGTGGTTCCTAACTATTCCTTACTTTGTGTCTTTGTTTGTGCCTGTTTTGTTACTCTTCCTCCTCATGAACAGACAAAACTTAAACCCCGTTCTCGGTTATGCTGTTTTCTTGGTTATGGCTTAACTCAAAAAGGTTATCGTTGTTATGATCTTATCTCCAAAAGCCTTCGAGTCTCTCATCATGTGGAGTTTTGCGAACAAAAACCATTTACCAGCATATCCACGTTCTCCCCTTCCCCCTCTAACCACTCACTCATATTCACTGATCCCTCTATCACTCTATTTTTTTATTCTTCTACAGAGATTTCGAGCTCCTTAGACAGTTTTTTCACTACTGCACCCAATCTAGTTGATGCGTTTGATGGACCACCTACCACACCACCCATTCCTCAGTCTTCTCCACTCCCTAAACCTTGTCGTTCTAGTCGGGTAAGTGTTCCTTCTACTCATCTTCATGATTATCAACGTTTCTCTATCCTTGCCATCTTCCACGAACCTCACAATTATCGTGAGGCTCGTACTGACTCTCTTTGACAGCAAGCTATGTTTGATGAATTGAATGCTCTTGTCAAAACACATACTTGGGATCTAGTGGACTTGCCTCATGGTAAAGCTGCATGGGGATGCAAGTGGATTTATAAAATCAAGACTCGAGCAGATGGATCAGTTGAACGCTACAAGGCTCGACTTGTTGCTAAGGGGTTCACCCAAGAGTATAAGATTGACTATGAGGAGACTTTTGCTCCTATTGATAGACTTACCTCTATCAGATCTTTACTTGCAGTTGCTGCTGTCCGGCGTTGGGAACTTTTTCACATGGATGTTAAAAACGCCTTCCTTAATGGTGGTCTTATTGAAGAATTTTACATGCAGTAGCTATGAGCATCCTCCACATAAAGTTTGTCGTCTTTGTCGTGCACTTTATGGGCTCAAACAGGCTCCTTGAGCTTGGTTTGAGAAATTTTAGTCAGTGGTTTCTCAACAAGGCTTTCTTTCTAGCCCATATGATTCTGCACTCTTTCTTCACACTACTGGGGCAGGTACTATCCTTCTTCTTCTCTATATAGATGATATGATTATTGCTGGTGATGATATTGCTGGTATTCAAGATCTTCAAACTTTTCTTAGTCAGAATTTTTAGATGAAGGATTTGGGACATCTTAACTACTTCCTTGGCCTTGAAGTTACTTCAAATCAGGATGGTTATTATCTCACTCAAGCAAGATATGCCTCTAATTTACTTTCCAAACCTAGGTTGACAAACAGTAAGATAGCCACCAGTCCACTTGAGTATAATACTAAACTTCTGGCCACTGATGGTTCTCCACTTGCAGATGCAACTCTTTATCGACAGTTAGTTGGCAGTCTCATTTATCTTACTGTCACCAGGCCTGACATTTCATATGTTGTTCATCTGGTCAGTCAGTTTATGAGTGCACCTTGATCTATCCATTTTGCTGCGGTTCTTTAAATTCTACGCTACATCAACGGTACTCTGTTTCATGGTCTGCACTTCTCATCCCACTCCTCTTTGGAGCTGTAGGCCTATTCTGATGCAGATTGGGCTGGTGATCCTACTGATCATCACTCCACCACTGGTTATTATTTCTTACTTGGTACTTCTTTGATTTCATGGCGTAGTAAGAAACAGTTTGTTGTTGCCCGTTCTAGCACTGAGGTTAAGTATCGCACTCTTGTTGATACGACATCTGAACTTTTGTGATTACGCTGGCTTATGAAAGATATGGGTGTTCCTCAATCAATAAGTTCTCCTCTTCACTATGATAATTGTAGTGCCATATATCCAGATTGCGCATAATGATATTTTTCATGAACGTACTAAACATATTGAGATTGATTGTCACTTCATCAGCTACCATCTTCAGCAGGGTGTCCTCCAGTTACATTCAGTTTCTTCTGAAGATAATCTTGCTGATATTTTTACGAAATCCCATCCACTTGGTAGACTTGGTGATCTTGTTTCCAAACTCCAATTGACTTCGCCACCAAGAGTTTGAGGGGGGATGTTAGTATATATATTAGTATCTTATTAAATCCCTAGAATATATGATTATTCCTGTAATTATGCTATAATTTCCTGTAATTATGCTAGGTTAGAATCTTTCCATATAGTGTATTTCCTTATTAACTTTGACCTTTTCCACTATATATAGCGGCCTCCTTTGTATAGTTTATAATACACAGAAATATACAATCATATGATTCCTCAAAATTCTCTTTATTTCAACAACAACTACAACAAATTGAAATTAAATCGATCCCTCCAAGGTTGGTATGAAGTTAATATCCTAAAACTATATATTCATTAGAATTCATTCTTTCAATTAACCTGCACTGGAGAATATTTTGCAATAAGCTAGTAAATTGACTACCTTTTACGAGAGAAAATACTAGAAGATTATAGTACAATATGTGCCTTCTAAATTGCAGATTGCAGATATTTTGACTAAAGCTTTGTCTTCTACTCAATTTGCTAATTTGAAGAAGAAACTAACTGTTGAAGCTCCTAATGAGTAGCCTTGGAGTGTGAAGTTCAGCTTTGAAGAAATACTAAAGTACTGATATGCAGATTGTTGGAATATGAACACATTTTGTTTGTTGATGCAGATATTGAGTTTGAGTTAAACCTATCTTAGGAGTTTGAGTTTGGGAATATTTGTTTTCCTTGTACTGTGAGTTGATTTAGGGAAATAGAATTGGTTTAGGACTTTACTCTGAGTTAAAGTAGGAGAATGAAATTAAAATAGGATTTGAAATATGAATCATAGTAGAAAAAGAATGTCCTATTATGCTTATGATAAATGGGTTAGAACCAATTCATTGCTATGAGAGAAACTATGTGAAAGAGTGAATGATAAGATGTGAGAAGAGATATTAAACACCATAGGAATATAATGTTTGCCTATGTAATGGGTTGATGGTGTTAAACACCATATGGTAGAGTTCTCGCCTTATAGGTCGATGGTGTTACACACTCTCGTATCGTGTTCATGAAATTATAGTAGAATTCTCTCATTTGTGGATGTAAGCGAGTTATGCTCAACCACGTAAATATCGTTTATGAGTGTGTGATATTCTTCACATGTTGTTGTTCTTTATTTTATTTTCAGTAAATGACATTTACCCATCCAAGGTTTGGCAAACTTGCAAGTTTCCACTATTGCTTTCATAAATTACAAATTCCACCTTTAAATTAACATCGTTAGTTTTCTCTCAACCCCCACATCTCAAATTTCTCTCAAATAACCCGCATATCCTAATGGTAAGGCTGGCGGTGGTCGGCAGTGAGGTGAAATGGTTGGAAAAAAGCTACAATCAATCAAAAAACCAAAAATACTTCAAAACCAATCATTCTCCTTCCAAAACAAACTCCAAATCAACCTCAAATCAACCCAAAAGCAAAAATTTTGCAAAATCCTAAGGGGGGGAGGCGAGAGGCGATTGGCAGGCAACCATGGTCGAGAGTGTTGGGGGTTTTGGAGGGGGGATGCCTGTGGTGCTATAGGTGGTGTCAGGAGTGATTTCTGGCACAAATATCGACCGAAATTTGGTTGGAAAGGTGCGACCACCAAGTGAAACCCTAAGGTAGAGGCGATGGCGATCGGCGAGCATTTGTGATCAACGATGTTGAGGGTTTTGGTAGGGACAAGATGGTGATGCTATTGGTAGTGTCGAGGGTGGTTCCCAGTGTTGGGATCAGTTGGAATTTGTATTAAATGCTCGATCAAAACTAAGAGCGGCGACCGTCGATTGGGGTTTCAAACAGATAGGGAAGTTAAGGGTTTTGATGTGAGGGTTGAGGGGATTGTAATGGTGGTGTGTGTGTGGTTTTGGTGGGGGGGATCAACTACGCTGAGAATAGGCCGGACTGGCCTGAAATCGCCGATCCTTTGGTGGGGTGAATTTGAGATATGAGGTTTATTTTGAAATAACTCTTTTATTTTTCACTCCTCCAAAGTCTAACATGATATCGGACAATTGATTGTATTGCTCTCAAATTCTAACACAGATGTCTTGTGAGTTTAATGAAATATTGATGTGAAATTCAGTTCAGTTTTTCATGATGAGAAGATCAGATTCGCAGATATATTAAAGTGTTGATGTGAAGTTCAGATTTGCAGAATTACGTTGAAGTGTTGATGTGAGGATTTGTTAGATGTAAAGGTCAGGTTTGAGGTTAATAAAGTTTAAAGTTGATGTGAAGATTAGTTTTGAGGTCAATTAAGTTGCTGCTGTTATGGTAATTGTACTTCAGAATTGTTGGTGTCAGGACTCTTTGTAAACTTAATATGGTTACTTTATAGCGTGTAATTGTTTGTGATGACATGTCAAGCTAAAACTGTGACACAGTTTAGCTTGAGGGGGCTGTTGTTTGTTGACCATTTAAAGTCAGAGGTGCCAGATCAGCTACTTTTCTAAGTCAGAATTCTTCGAGCCGGTGTCGTTTTGTTCTGTTTCTAAAATCAATTGTAAAGTTAGTTACTGAATAGTTACTGTGCTCTAAGTCTATGCGTTTGTATATAAATTATAAAATGCTAATCAGTTCAGATTAGCTTCTAAGCAATAATAAGGCTCATTAATTCTCTGGAAATTTCTTTGCTGTTTTCTGAAGTTTCACAATATTCACTCATCCTACCACGTAAAATAATTTTTAAACTCACATGAGTTTATGTTATCAAAAGTATTTTTATAATAACAATCTTGGAATTCTCCCCCCAAAAAAAAAAAATTCATAAAAGAAATAAAAATGTCATTCCCAAATGAGCAATAAGTGCTATTATTTGTCGTCTGTTAAGATTCATTAACAGCGCCGATAATATGTTCCAAAAAACTTACTGTGCTTCCTTGCTTTCCCTTCATCATCGAAAAGCTGACTTATTTTGTAGGTTGAAAGCGCTACGTCAAACAAGAGTCGTCGCTGCTGCTTGGTGAACAAGATGACGGGTAAAGAAGCAATCGCTGTAACAAGAATTGGAACCCACATTTTTCCATCTTTAAAGACAATGAAAATGGTTGCACAAAAAACTACCGTCATTGCTGCTATGGATAATAAAAGTGTTGCGAGCCCAACAATCAACTTTTTAGGCAACTCCAAAAGAAAATCTTCTTCAGCATATCGGAAAGTGAGAATAGATAAGAAGGTTAGAATGGAGCAAACGGATGTTACCAGAGATACTGCATCTGATATGACAAAAATTGTGAAGGACACTTTATGAACAAAATGAGGAGTCCCTGACTCTTCTTTGGTTCCACCTGGTACTGTGAAAGCTGCAGCAAAAACCACTGTGGCAATAAGTGCGGCCACAATCATGCATGAATTTGCAGTGCCCTTCATCCATTTTTCCCCCTTTTCCTTTAACCGTTTGTGCTTCTTGTTGAATAAAGCTTTTGGAGTTTTTCCTTGTTTATTTTTTGCTTGAGCAGCCGATGGATTCAGTACATTACTCACTTCCTATATTAAATGTTATCAAACATCTTATGTATTAAGAAAATAGAAATTGTACAGTCCTACCCAAAAGTAAAATAAAATAAGTTGTGTAAATTTACCTTAAACCATAACAATTCCTGCTGCATTTGGAGGGCTACGCCTGGTATAGTATCGAGCTGATCTGATGGAGCGGACGTTGCAGCCAAATGCAAGATGTTCTCGTAATCATCATCTTTGTACTGAAGTATTGTCTTCTTAAATGATGGACCTACGGTGTCTATGAGTTTGAAGATATCCTTTTGGCGTTTCAAAGCAGCATTGCGAAATATTTGTCTACATGTATCTCCTTTGACTTTACGTATCAACTCAGGATAATCACAAATAATTAAGCTTAAAAATTCAACGTTTTCTTGTTCGACAGCAAGATATATTACTTCATCGATCCAGTCATCACGACAATCTATTTTTTCCAAAAGTAGTTTGAGTAATTCAAGTGCTTTTGGAGGAAGCTTTTCATGGGGCAACTTGTTGCTACTAGAAACTGCGAGTTTCATACCAACAACATAGTTAGAACTAATAATTTTAAATTGTGAGGATTGTGAGATGTTTCTTAAAAAGTTCGAAGTAGTTGTTAATTATCCAATAGGGCACTTTTATTTATTTTTTTTTATTTTTTTTATTTTTTAAAGATTTGAGGAGAAAGATCAATAACAGGGGCCGGACTTGTTAAAGATTAGAGAGACTAACATAGGTTAAAGCATGTCTTCAGGATTCCTTGCTGATTGTGATTGGCAAAGTCAGGAGACATCATAGCTGTTCCAGCCAAGATATGTAATGCTGCCTCCATCAGCCACCATTTAGATAAACTAACGGTGGCCAATATTGGGCGTTCCTTCAGCAACGTCAGCGCAACATCTAAGAAACAACGACCAATGTTATGAATAATGTAGAAGGAACATTTTAAAAATATTAATTGAAAATTAATCAGATTTTGGCTTTTTCAATATATCCTATAATATATATTTTTTTTTTTCAGATAAATAGGATATGCGTTAGAAACACTCCATATAGAATAATCAGCTATAAATGACATTTGATCTTTGGCCATTGTGCCAAAATTGGTGGAAGCTATGTTAATGTAGATGGCGTTGTCTTATGCGAAGCCAAACTAAGAGCTGTTTTGAGAAGTCATCGTTTTATAAAACGTTTTATTAGTTTTGAAAAACAAAGTTACAACACTAGACCTGTTTGAAAACATAAGGTGTCTTTTGCTAGCTGACACCTGCTTGTTTATTCGATGTATTTGGTATTATTGATGTTGTTGAAGGCCAGGCATACTTTATTTTTCATTTTTATTATATTTTTAACCATCGATATTTTGTTTAGACAACAATTGTGCGTATAAATAATTTCTGTTGGATTTATATCGACATATAATTAAGTTAGTGTTTGTGTTATATATATATATATATATATATATTCCAATCATAACCTACGTGATTAATTAAATTAAGAAAATTAACACATAGATGATCAAGTAATTAAATGTGCAATTATATCAGAAATAGTGCATATACTCACCAAACAAGTCAGTTCTACTGATCAGACTGTGAAGCAAATCCACGCCATCCTCTTCCGCTAATTTTTCTTTTGTGACTTCATAAAGATACCCTATCATCTCTTTGTGGCCGTGCTTAGCGGCAATGTGAATTGGTAACATATACTGAACTCCACGAATACTCGGTAATTCTTCATTTTTTGCTAACATTATTGTGGCCAGTTCCATTCTTCCTGATGCAGCAACAAGAAAAAAAGCATTATTGCCATCACGATTTTGTATAGCCAATTGCTCTTTTGTCATATAATGTTATGCCTGGGAATTCAAGAGCTGACGTGGGGAGTCACGTGATGAAGTGTGACCTGCTTCCGTCAGAACGGTAAGCGCACCTCAGGTCTGCCAAATGCTATGGAGCTCTCACGTGTCCGTTTCCCTGCTCCAAATCGCGTGAAATCAGCTTGGGAAGTGGGCAATGAGACGTAAAGCCGGATTATGTCCTGACATTCACACCAACCCATGGATTTAATGATGATTACATTCATTCATCCCGTTATAAAAAGAGGAAGACCCCTTCATTAAGGGGATTCGGCCATTTTACACTTGAACTCTCTTTGAAAAACTTTGTATTTACTTTTCCCAATTATTTGTAAGTCAGTCCGCTGTTGCGACCTGACCCACAATACTAATACAAATCAGTGGACGTAAGACTTGCTACCTTAGCATTCGAACCACTTTAAAAAGCTCTCATTGCATTTATTTCGTATTTTCAACCCATGATCACGTGTGTCTCTTGACCAATCAACGTTACGCACGTGTTGATTAGTTGGTGTTAGAATCTCGCATCAACATATAACATACGAGTTTTTTGACAAAAATAGAGGAGTCTGCCGCAGCTGCAATGTGTAGAGTGTTGTCCCGGTTGTCTGATATCCAAGCAGTTAAATACATTGAATTATTCTTTGGATCTTGCTTAAATATATCATTATAAGCTGAGTCCCATTCTTTCCTCAATGCAGCTCTATACAATTTTTTAAAGTCTTCATTTATCCTTGGATCCTCTATCAAGATGAAACAAGGACAAGAATTATATATAAACACCAATTCATTCAAACTGATTTAGATGAAAATTGGTAGAGTATATTAAACATATTAACTATTTGTACAAAATTCATACACACAAGGTGTTAATCTAGTTGTACTTTGATAATACATCTCTATGCCATTTATTCAATAAACCAATGGCTAACATTTTTCATTTTCATTTATATAATTACTTTAATTTAATACAAATATAATTTTGATAAGAAATAAATCAGTTGAAACATGTTCAAACACTAATCAACCTATAGAGTTGGTTAGAAAGTAAGAGACTAAATTAAGCTTATTTAGTTTTATTAAGAGTACTCTAGTTTTTTAGTCTTTTTAAAGTACTTGTTATAGATTTATATGTTTACATTAGGATTCCTAGTCAGAGTAGAATTAGGACGTCTCTTATATGAAGATTGGGTCTATCAATTTATATTTGAGAAAGATAAAATAATAAAAATTGTCCTTGTGTTAACTTGAGTTGGTATCATTTTATGTTATTTTAATTATTTTTTTTTGAGATTATTTATCCCTATTGAAGTGGATTTTTGAGGTTCTTAATATTCCCTATTGAAATTCCACAATTTGATGGATTTTTTTTTTTATTTATTTTTTTTATTTTTTTTTGGGTATGGTGGGGGGGTGTGGGGGGGTGTGGGTGTGGGGGGGGGGGTGTGGGAGGGGGGTTTAGTGAGCAACTTTTTTGGAATGTCAAAATCTCTGGAGGTTGTAGATCAAGGACTTGTGGTACCAGCAAACAGCAAAATCAACACAGCAAAAAAGATAGTTTGGTAGATGCTATTAAAAAAAGATTTGAAGGCTCGTTTTTAGTCAATATTACGTAAGACGTGTCTCTTTCTAAGAAGATTGCCCACACAAAAACATCAAAGAATGCATGGGACATGATAAGACTTCGGATGGGCCGCAATGTTCGCAACGCAACATCAAAAGAAATCCAAAGTATCATGCATGAAATGCATGAAAGAAATCCAAAATATCATGCATGAAGACACGTACGCATTCAGGTGGTTGTGGGATCATTTCATAGTCAAGCTTCTATTATTTAGGAGGGATTAACAACCACTTGCAGAACCAGTCATAAGTAGTGGTAGAAGAGATAAAAGCTGTTGCATTGATTTTCGCTTTCGCTTTCCCCTTTGTAATTTTTCATTTGAATTTATTTCATTAGGGTGTTAAGGACCTTTAGCTTCGGCAACATATGCTGAAAGTTTGTTAGATTTATTTGTATTTATTGATAGTGGACAGGAATAGAGGATATCAGATATTTTTAACGCAATTTCTTTGTATGCTCTGTTCTCACCCGAAGAGAACACTGGTAATTAATTGCTGTAGTACACGAATCTTTGACTAGGACCTATCAGTGGTATCAGAGCTTTGTTACAATGGCGTCCAACAAAGAGAGGATCGAGGCTTTGGAGGCTGGACTCGGTGGAGTTCAAGATGGAATGCAGCGATTGGAGTTAGGCATAACTGATAAGCTGCACCGTTTGGAGGAAACCATCAACAAGTTGTCCGAGGTTGTGCTTTCAACTAAACAACCACCCAGCAACAACAATAAAAATTGGCGAGAAGGATCCTCCCGTTCGTATTGTGAGGAGAACGATAGTGGCAAACAGGTTTTCTCTTCCAAAATGGCAAAGTTAGAATTTCTGAGATATTCTGGAGATGACCCAACTGAATGGTTAAACCGAGTAGCTCAATTCTTTGAATTTCAAGGCACGGTGGACAACCAAAAGGTATCATTGGCATCTTTCCACCTTGAAGGAGAAGCCAACCAATGGTGGCAATGGTTGCATCGAGCTTACCGAGAGGAAGGTCGCTTGGTTACATGGGAATCATTTGAGGAGGAACTGTGGGCTCGTTTTGGACCCACAGAGGGTGAAGATTTTGATGAAGCCCTATCCAAAGTTCAACAGGTCGAATCCCTTCGTGATTACCAGAAAGAGTTTGAGAGGCTTGGTAATCGGGTTCACGGTTGGTCACAGAAGGCGCTCGTAGGGTTGTTCATGGGTGGCTTGCGTTCCGAAATTTCAAAAGCAATTCGTATGTTTAAGCCTAAAACCTTGAAGGAGGCGATAAACTTGGCTCGCATGAAGGACGAACAAATACAGCGGCAAAGGAGGATCTCACGCCCACCACTACCCACTCGCACCCCGCCGACTCTACCAACATCAACAAAAACTTCACCTGTAAAGAGATTAACTTGGGAGGAGATGCAAAGAAGACGTGCACAGGGACTTTATTTTAATTGTAATGACAAGTTTACTGTAGGACATAGGTGCCAAGGACCTCAACTATTATTGCTAGAGGGCCACAACGAAACCAACGAGATTGTGTGTGAAGAGGTTGTAGATGAAAATTTGATAGAGAACCAACATGCAGATTTGATTGAACCAGAAATTTCTTTACATGCGCTCACTGGCTGGTCCATCCCTCGCACCATGCGGATTAAGGCTCAGATTGTCCATCACGAATTAGAGGTGCTCATTGATAGTGGATCCACGCACAACTTCCTCAGTGATAAAATAGCAGAGATACTTCAGCTACCGGTTATTTCGACGGAACCATTTGTCGTTCGAGTGGCTAATGGTAGCAGTCTCAAGTGTTAGGGAAGGTTCGAAAACGTACGGGTTATCCTTCAGGGTATTCCTTTCACATTAACCCTCTACTCTCTCACCTTTACAAGACTTGATCTCATGCTAGGAGTACAATGGCTTGAACAACTTGGGCCAGTGATGTGTAACTGGCAGAAGATGACCATGGAATTCCAATGGGAAAACCAAGAACATAAGCTGCAAGGGTCAGATAGTCAAGTCATCCAATCAGCATTATTAGAGGCGGTTTCGAAGGAAGTCCGACAAGGTAGTTCAATATTTGCTATTTATCTCCAGTCCATCAACAAGGTGGCTACGCCCAAAATGCAATCGGATATGCAAAAGACAATAGAAACATATGCGGATATTTTTAACGAACCCACGCAGCTACCTCCGGTTCGTGAAGTGGATCATTGTATTCCCCTCAAAGACGGTATTGAACCCGTCAATGTAAGGCCCTACAGGTATGCCCATTTTCAAAAAATTGAGATTGAAAAACAGGTTCAAGACATGCTTAAATTGGGGCTTATTAAACCTAGCACTAGTCCTTTCTCTTCACCTGTTCTACTAGTTAAAAAGAAAGATGGAACTTGGCATTTTTATACAGATTATATGGCACTTAATGCGGTGACTATTAAAGATATGTTTCCCATTCCCACTATTGATGATATGCTTGATGAGCTCTACGGGGCTACATACTTTACCAAATTAGATCTAAGGGCAGGGTACCATCAAGTAAGGGTAAATCCTTATGACACTCACAAAACGGCCTTTCGTACACATAATGGTCATTATGAATATCTGGTTATGCCCTTTGGCCTTTGTAATGCTCCTTCTACTTTTCAGTCTATTATGAATTCCATTTTTCGCCCGTATCTTCGTAAATTCATATTAGTATTCTTTGATGACATATTAGTTTATAGTCCCAATTGGACCATGCATCTTGAACATGTTATTGAAGGCTTTTGACATATTATGGCAACACAAGTTTTTTATTAAAGCCAGCAAGTGTGTTTTTGGGCAACACGAATTGGAATATCTTGGCCACATCGTGACTAACCAAGGGTTCAAGGTGGATCAAGGAAAGATTGAGGTAATGATCAATTGGCCACGACCTAATAATATTTCTGAATTACGTGGGTTTTTGGGTCTTATAGGTTATTATCGAAAGTTTGTCCGGAACTATGGGCTCATAGCACGTCCTCTCACTAACCTGTTAAAAAAAGGGCAATTCAAGTGGAACGATGACGCCGAAGATGCCTTCCTCAAGCTTAAGCAGGCCATGACCACCACTCCCATTTTGGCCATGCCAAACTTCAATGAGCCCTTTATAGTAGAGACTGACGCCTCTGGAGAAGGAATTGGTGCTGTACTCACCCAACAAGGCAGACCAATCGCCTTCATGAGTCGGCCCTTAGGAGTTGCCAAACGTTCTTGGTCCACCTATGCCAAAGAAATGTTAGCTATCCTACAGGCGGTGCGTACTTGGAGGCCATATTTACTTGGTAGGAAATTTTTCATTCAGACAGATCAACGCAGTCTCAAGTATTTCATGGAACAACACATTGGGACTCCGGAGCAACAAAATTGGGTGGCAAAGCT